GTGACACGGCAAACTAGCAGCAGCTGGGCTGGGCTGGATGTGCGGGCGAAGACCGTGGCCTTGGGCTGCTCTGAGGGGTGGAAGCAAAGGGGGTTGGGGGGAGCCCTGAGGAGGAGCACTGCTTCACCCCAGTGCGTGCGGGGCTTTGGGTTGGCCATGGCAGGGCCAGGGTGATCTCACCTTGTCTCTCCAGAGCTGCCCTACCATACTTGATGAATTTCTTCATGTGTTCAACACAGGTGACATTGAGAAGGTGCTGCAGGGTCGCGGAGAAGCCAGTAAAGTCGTTGAACTGCCTTTCCACTTGCTTTGCCAGCTTACTCTCTTGCTGCCTCTCCCAGAAGCCATTGTCCACGTTGAAGCTGAGGAACTCGTGGGCATTGTAGGCGAGATGGTAAAATCTGGTGTAGGAGCCATTGCGATACAAGTCGCAGCCAGTGATGCACTGGAACACAGAAGGGTCTGCGGGAGGTACAGCAGACATTACAAGTGCAGCCTGAGTTGGGAGTAGCAGCCTGGAACCGCAGCCTTACACCTGCTTCTTTGGGCAGAGCCCTTTCCCCCTTCCCTCTGTACCCCATGTCATTCTTCCCAGGGAGAAGGCATGCAAGGTCAAAGCTCAATTAGAGTTGAAACTGGCCAGTGTTGTGTCAGAAAACAAGAGAGGCTTTTGAAGGTGTTCCAGTTTGCAAGAAAAGTGTGAGGGAAGACCCAGGAACCTATGGACCTGTGAAAATAACCTCGGCACCTGGGAAAATTACGGAGAAGATCATAGAATCATAGAATGTTTTGGGACAGAAGAAACCTCTTAAAGGTCGTCCAGTCCAACCCCCCTGCAGTGAGCAGGGACATCTTTAAGTAGATCAGGTTGCTCTGAGCCCCATCAAGCCTGACCTTGGATGCCTCCAGTGGTGGAGCCTCCACCAGCTCTCTGGGCAACCTGCACCAGTGTTTCACCACCCTCCTTGTAACAAATGCATTCCTTATATCTAGTCTAAATCTATCCTGTCTCTGTCTGAAACCATTACTCCTGTTGCAACAAGGCCTGCTAAAAAGATTTTCTCTGTCTTTCTTTTAGGCTCCATTTAAGTATTGAAAGGCCACCATAAGGTCTCCCCGGAGCCTTCTCTTCTTTAGGCTGCACAACCCCAACTCTCAGTCTTTCATGCAGGAGAGGTGTTCCATCCTGCTCATCATCTTGGTGGCCTCCTCTGGATCTGCTCCAACAGGTCCATGCCCTTCCTGTGTTGGGGGCCCCAGAGCTAAACGCAGCACTTGGTGGGGTCTCACCAGAGTGGAGGGGGAGAATCACCTCCCTCGAACTGCTGGCCACTCTGCTTGTGATGCAGCCCAGGATACGGTGGGCTTTCTGGGCTGTGAGCATACATTGCCAGGTCACGTCCATCATTTCAGCCACCAACACCGCCAAGTTCTCCACAAGGCTGCTCTCAATCCCTTGGTCCCCCAGCCTGTAATTGATACTGGATATTGCCCTGGCCCAGGTGAAGGACCTTGTGCATGGCCTTGTTGAATCTCATGAGGTTCACATGGGGCCACTTCTCCAGCTTGTCCAGATCTCCCTGGATGGCATCTCATCCCTCTGGCATATGAACCACACCGCTTAGCTGGGTGTCATCAGCAAATTTGCTGAAGGTGCGCTCAACCCCACTGCTGACGTCATTGATGGATATAGCATACTATTGGTGCTATTGAACGGCAGGTAAGTAACAACGCAAACATCAGGTGCAGTCAGCATGTTCCCAAAGGGAAAGTCCTGTAACTAAATAGATTTTCTTCTACAATAAGGTCACTCACCTAGTGGGTGAGGGGAAGGTGGTGGATGTAGTTTCTCTGAATTTTAGTCAGGCTTTGATAATGTTCCTCACAGCATCCCTCTGGACAAGTTGTCCAGCTGTGGGGTGAGCAGGTTGATGGAGTGCTGGGTGAAGAGCCAGCTAGACAGCAAGGCTCAAAGGGTTGCAGGGAATGGGGCTACATCTTGCTGGCAAGCGGTCACCAGCAGTGTTCCTCAGTCTAGGTCCTAAGGCCAGTGCTGTTCAATGTTTTGATCAGTGATCTGGACGCAGGGGTTGAATGCACCATTAGCAAGTTTGCTGATGATAGCAAACTGTGAGGTGCTGCTGACTCTCTTGAGGGACAAGAGGTCTTGCAGAGGTATCTAGATAGATTGGAGTATTGGCATGAACTTTAACAAGGACAATGCCAGTTCTGCACCTGGGGCAGAGTAACACTGCACACAGATATAAACTGGGAGAGAAGTGACTGGAGAGCAGCCCAGCACAAAGGGCTCTGGGGGTGCTGGTTGACAGCAGGCTCAGTGTGAGCCAGCCGTGCTTCCCTGGCACCAAGAGGGCAAACCCCATCCTGGTGTGCACCAAACACGGCATGACCAGCTGCCAACAGAGCACTGCTCCAGGGGAGTGAAGGACCATGGGGCGTGGGCAAGTAGGAGGACAGTGACACTCTGCCTGGTGCCCTGCCCGTGAGTCAGAGTGCTGTGCCAGCACGTGGGCTCTGTGTGTCCCATCCCACATGAGTGGAGAGGCCCATTTGACCTTTTACTCCACTTTCTCAGATGACTTCTCTGGTGGGATCTGTGGTGCCTGGAGAGCAATAGGAGTGGTGATGTGAGAGTATAAGTGGAGCTAAAAGTGGTCAAGGTTTGTGCATGGGACCAGGATGGCCCCGTGCAACCTCTGTGCAGGACAGGGTGGTTTGAGGGTCTTGCTGCGGCAGGATGAGGCCCATTCCCTGTCCTAATGCCAACCCTAGTTTGGGAAAGATGTTGGTGGTGGTTCTTGAGCTTCTTCTTACAGCTCCGGGCCTTGGGCAAGGGGCTGCTGAGCATCAGGTACTCACAGGGTATCTGGTAGAGGCTGGAATCACTGGACAGAGACAGGACGAAGTTGTGCACGTAGATTCTGAACAGATTTTGCAGGTTCTCCCACTCTGCTGCGGGCAGGGCTGGGTAGACCCACGAGTGAAGGTCGAGGATGTTCCAGGTGTATTTCTGCAGGGTAGCAAAGAGGATGTCTTCCAGGGTGGCCCAGGCTGAAATGTCCACAACGTCGGTATTGTGGAAGATGAAGGTTTGGAAAAGGTGGAGTTTACGAGAGTCTGCAGGGAGAGGAGAGAGAGGAAGCGGCATTGGGGTACACGAAGATGAAGGAGAAGATCAGGGGACTTCTGGCTCCAGTGTTGGCAGGCAGCCCCAGGAAGAAGGGTGACTTGCAGTGTCCTCAGGGACAGGCATGGCAAGATGGGGCAGAGAGGCAGGGCGGGGGAAATCCCCTGGTTTTGCTCAATTTGCAGTTTCCTTCCATGGACCCCTCTGAGCCTCTTCCGGCTTCTCTAATTTCTTTATTTAGCCATCCACCACCCCAATGTGAGCTCCTGAGAGTCCTCCCTTAGCCATGTAGAAAAGATGGCGGGGGGACCTCTGTTCTGGTTTGGGGTGGTGCTTCCCTGACAGGTAGCAGCTGTGACAGGACCTTGATCCACTGGAGACCTGCAGTGCAGAGACTGGGAGGCTGGGAGAGAGGAGCATTTCACCCCAGTTTAGGGGCTCCCAGTCAGTGCTCAAACCTTAACAGGAGGCAGGAGACTTGATTTCAATGCTGCCAAACTCAGTGAGGCTCTGGCAGCAAGCAGGGCAGAGTGGAACCTGTTTTGGAGCAGTGAGTGCCCCTTGTCCAGGGCACAGGGAGCAAATGACCCTGGAATGGGAAACACGGGCTGGGGATGAAGGGGAAGGTTTGTAGCTGCAGCAAGAACCTTTGAGCATTATTTCATAGGAGGAGGATGCAGAGGATAAAGGGACCCGTCAATTACAACAGAAATGATCCCGCAGGCTGAGGGTGATGCCCAGGAGCTGCTCAAGCGGTTGGAGCCCGGGCAGGGTTGTTGTGCCGTGAGGGACTAAGAACCTCTGCTGTCCACAGGCTCCTTGCAGGAGAAAGGTGTCTTTGGGGGCACCCCAGGCCTGACTGACCTCCTGCTACTCAGGTGTCTGAACCCCAGCACCAGTGATGCTGGGCTGGGCAGGATGGTGTGAGGTAGAGAACCCCAAGCAGGTGGGCAGGGATGGGGCATCTTTGGCTGCTGTAGCATAGCCTCTTGGGAATGAGGACAGTGGCCTGTCCGTGCCCCTCCCCTCCCACCTCCATGGGGTTCCACAGTGCAGGGGTGGGAGACGTGGGTTGAGCCAGGGCTCCGACTTACCTTCTGGGTCTGCCCACGTCCCAGGGAGGAAGAGGAGAAGGAAGAGGACGACCCGAGGGGGTTGCATGGTGGCAGTGGCAGGCGTGCAGAAGCAAGTGTGGCAGGAGGAGGAAGAGGCCACAGGAGTCATGGGGCAGCCCCGGTAGCCAATGATGCTGGTGCTGAGGTTTTGGGGAGGGCCTGGTCGGGTGTATTCCCCAGGGGAAGTGGTGTGGCTGGTGGAGGACTGGGCTCGGGTGCTCCGGCTGGTGGCTGCAAGTTCCAGGGGAATTTGGGTGTGTACAAAGTCATCTCTCCTGACTACAGCAGCCCCCTGACACCCAAGGAGGTGTAGGCTGAGCCTGGCCTGTGATGGCTTTCATCTTCTCTCTTAATAAGCTCTATAGTCCCCTGGGAGAGTTTATGTGAAAAGGTTTTGGTAGCAGAGGGCCTGCAGGGTTGGCTTCTATGAGAAGATGCCATAAGTCACCCACATGTCCAACAGAGCCAGTTCCAGCCAGCTCTCAGACAGACTCACTGCTAGCTGAGGATGAGCCAAGCAGCAATGCTGGTAGCACCTCTGTGATAACATATTTAAGAAGGGGTAAAAACCACTGTGCAATAGCAGCTGGGGGAAGGAGGAGGAGGTAATGGCCATGCAGCCCATGGTGAAGATTGTGGTGACACAGGTTGTTCCCCTGCAGCCCATGGAGGACCACGGTGGAGCAGATACCTAGCGCTAGAGCAGGTGGAAGCCCAGATGAGGCTGTGACCCTGTGGAGAACCCATGCCAGAGCAGGCTCCTGGCAGGACCAACTGCTGAGTGATCTCTCTGTCCTTATCTCGACCTATGAGCCTTTTGTCATATTTACCCTCATCCAGTTAAGGAGAGGGAGTGACAGAGTGGCTTGGCAGGCACCTGGAGGCTAGCCAAGGTCAACCCACTGTGGTGAGTTGATGGCCATCTTGGGGACATGTCACTCAGAGTCCCCCCGAGACTGCATGGCTCTTTTATGGCTGTCAGGCAGATTGGGAGGGTGACTGTCCCCCATCCCTCCAGCTTTTTCAGGGGCAGGACTCAGGCATGGGAGCAGGAGTGGAGGAGATGTTGACCCAAAACTATCCTGGACAAAGGTGAGATCAGCTGGAGTGGTTTCGCACCTACTCAGAATGCCTCCCAACATCAGGGAGATGTCACTTGGGTCCTCCTTTCCCATTCTCTCTCCAGTGAAACAGCTCAAAACCCTCCATCTCTCCCTGGTTTGTGGCCTGCCCCATCTTCGAACCCACTCAGTGGCCCCACACTAGTCTACCCCCAGGTTGTCACTGCCCTTCTGCGCTGGTCCTGCAGCTGTGGTAAATTTGTTGGCAGCTCCCCAGTGTGTAGAGAGGTTCCCCCGTGCCAGATGGCAGGAGCCCTGAGGGGTGTTCTTAGTGTGCTGCCCTCCCTGCCCCTGCCAGCCATGTGTCCCAGCAGTCACAGTGCTTTCCATTACCCTTTCAAGAGCTGCTGTACCCCATGAGACCCCACAAATGCTTCCTTAGTGGGGAGGAGTGCACTGCCAGAACCCAGGGAAAAAGTGGCTGGGGCTCTGACTGGGGATGTCCCATACTCACAGCCCAGTTCTGCCTGCTGGGCCATATTGGACCATATTGTACAGAAAGAGTTTGGGGTGGGACTTGATCTTCTCTGCATCACCCTCAGCTGTTACCTGGAGGACCCATGACTGGGGTAATTTGATGTTCCAGTAGGCAGGATCCACTGCAGTGATGGACATATACTCCAGGAGAGTCACCCTGGACACCTCAGCAGAGCTAATGTTGGTGAAGAGTCAGGAACAGCTGGAAAACCTACAGCTCTGCCAGGAAAGAGGATGCGGTTGGGTAAAGCTGCAGGAAAGAGGAGATGAGTGTTGAGGCTGGAGAGGAAACAAGGGATTCAGACTAGATATAAGGAAGAAATTTTTTATGATGGGGGTGGTGAAACCCTGGCACAGGTTGCCCAGAGAGGTGGTAGATGCCCCATACCTGGAAACATTCCAGGTCAGGCTGGACGGGGCTCTGAGCAACCTGATCTAGTTGAAGATGTCCCTGCTCACTGCATGGGGGTTGGAGGAGATGACCTCAAAGATCCCTTCCAACCCAGCGCATTCTATGGTTCTATGTTCCTCAGACCACTCAGGATTGCTTTCCTGTCTGAACTTCCTCCATCTCCGCTGTTCTTTCTCCTCCTCTATTTTACTTTCATCTAGCTGTTTCTCTCCCTTACTGAATTTTAAGCACCTTGTCCCCTCCTTGCCTCCCTCTCGCCCAGCACCTGCTGTCTGGCTCTACGGAGCAGATGTTGGGAGGCACCTCAGTGCTTGTTTAGGGTGACGGTTCCTGCAGAAGAAACACCCATAGCCAGGGACCTGTATCTGCCAGAGAACTGCACATGGCACAGAGGACATAGAGGATGGAGGAGGGGAAAGGGTATTTTGTCCAGGTTTGAGGGCTCTCAGGTGTCAGGAGCTCAAGGAGAGTAGCCCACCCCAGAGATCAATCTTGATTTCCCATGTCTGTTGCTGCCTGTTCCCCAACCCTCCTAACCAAC